CGTTAGGGAAAAGTGTCGATAAAAGGGACAATTCGTACCCTCGTCACAAGAGGCCACAGGATCCGGGCCAGATTCTTGGGGACCAATGGCGCAGGATCTAACGTCGTTAGGACCAACAAGAAGAGAAAGGACAAAACAACGGCTTGCCGATTCTTTTTTTGAAAATCTACGACTGGTAGAGAGAGAGAGAGAGAGAGGGGGAGCGCACATTCGCGACTGCTGGATATCGTTTCGCGGGTGGACGAGGATAATAATAATTGCAGTTTATGACTGGACGCGCCAATGAGTTCGCTCCCACTCGCGGGTCCTGCGAATTAACGGAACTCCCACGCGTGCTCTTGGTTGGTGTAGACTGTCTTTCGTCTCAAGTTTATGAATCGTACGAGTAACGTGTACGTATGTATCCAGAGTGCCTCTCTTTCCCCTCACGATGACTGACAATGTATTAAGTATTCGACGGATTCACATAAAAATATCGACGCCCGATGAAAAATTTCATATTTGGCGACTCGATATTTTTTTGAAAATTATCACATTAAACGGATATAAACATTTTTCTTAAGTACCAAGTTGATCTTTAATATTTCAATCTAATTAAACCAATAATATTATTAGTCGAGATGATTAATATGCTATTTTATAATGTCGTGGCGTGCACAGTATGGGTGCGGTTAGTTCGAGAGTACAAATTAATTAATGGAAATGTATGCGTCGCGTGATCGAATGCGTAGAAGTGTGGAAAGAAGAAGAAAGAGGAGCCCGATGCGCGCCTGAATTACTAACTAGGTGACGGACGGATCCGCGATTGAATTATAGTGTATTCGAATTTGGGAGATACGAAGAAATGATTATTGAGGAATCTTATTATGAATGTGATGTAACATTGATTAATCGTTTAGTGAAACGCCGTTTCCGAATTTTAAAATTTTGGAAGGATGTTTAGAAAAGTTAGAGAAAGATGAGGAAAAAAATATTTAAACGAAATTTATTAAATATAGGAGTCTCTCTCTCTCTCTCTCTTTCTCCTTCTCAAAATAAAGCAAAATTTAATGCCTTCGACAACAACGTTAATGTGCAACTTGAAAGTGTGGCCAGATGTAAATGAAGTAAAAGAAAACGAGAGAGATTTGTATCGTTGGTTTAATCACAACAGTATGCGCGTTGATCATGAATATCGCGAGAAAAATGCCGTCACGAGCTAGAATTGCTAATAGGATATATCTACGTATACATATGTATACACATAAGATATCTAGGCCGGTGATATATTCCCGTTAGCCGGCTCGTTTTCAACGATTATGGATGATCTCTCTGTTTCTAATTACGTAACGAGGATTGATCTTGCTTATTATCTGGATCGAGAAACACTGCTGCGCCACAAGATGCTCTGACCAAGCATAAAGGGGGGAAGGAGGGGGGGGGGATCGGAAATAACATAGCAGTTTAAGCTTTCTTGTTTTTCTTTTTTTTTTATGAAGATTGAATTGTTATCGAATAATTGAAATCCCGATATAGACCGTGGCGGACGATACTCCCGCAGGATGATTCAAGGCGAGACAAAAGATCGATCGTTATCGTCGTAAATCGCGGGGTTACACACGGGACTGTAAATCTCGGGCATTCTCGGACTTTTGCACAAAGCGGATAAATCGCGGGGCTCGTATTGTCGACGGCTCCACGCTTCTTTCGACAATGTCTCACAGGGATCGGCAACAAGGTGCGCCGAATCTTTTCACGCAACTGCTTCCCTGGTTGTCGAGTATTCAGTTTCCTAATCGCTTTCGTAAATTCCCGACGGCGATTTGTTCAACCGGGAATGTGATTCCACGGTGAGGATATCGCTTCTAAAACTACAGCCGTATTTTAGCGTCGAGACTTTTGGCGACAAGATCCGATTTCTTTTCACGATCAAAGAATGCACAAAACGGAGCGGTGTTTTTGTTCGTGTCTTGTGATCTTAACATTTCTTAGTATGAGCTAATAAGAGAAAAAGAACAGCACGCGTTGCTTTAACTAGTCCGAAAGTTATTTATCGCTTTCGATTCTTGCCGAGGCATTTACTGTGACATTTCCCACGTATCAATAACTGCATACGGTGGCGATGTTTGCGAGATTTTTTCAATCGATAGGGTTCGAAAGAGTGATGCGGGTACAGAGAAGGGGAGAGGAGAGATCGGGAAGAAGATGGCTTACAACGACAACGACGACGACGACGGTGTACGCGACGGGAATGCACGATGAAACAGCGAACTAAACGACGCGCAAAAATCCACGACTCCTAGAAACGACGGGCTCCCTCTATTTCTTCCATATACGTACATACGTGCATCAAAGAGTGCGATGAACACGATATCATGGCCTCCACGAGGCCCCTTTCTTACAAGTGCATCATTGAAATACATTTTTTGGATACACCAGAGTGTAATGGAACATAATGATGACGGTATAATCTTATTTTTTGTTTAGAATAACTTTTCACTTGGCTAATGCTAACTAATTAATGAATCCAAACAATTCAAAGTCGCGATTTCTGCGAGAACGGACCAATCTGTGCGCTCTCTTCTCGAGTAAAACAAAATAAAATAAAACAATATTAGTTGCAGTTATAATGCGTAACAGTTGAAACTAGAACGCGAAAAAGATTCTCATATGTAAATTCGAATTTTCACAGTGATCGATTTCATTGCGGATGGGCATCCTCGATACTGAAAATCGCAAAGAGGTTACCGTGTTGTAAAGGTAACGCGAGAGAAATGTGGCATACTTAGAGAATCGCGATATTCAGCGAGATGAAGGCGAGCCGGCATCTAGTGTAAAGCGAATCTTGCCTCAAGAATCCGTGTTTTGTTTGTAGAAATTCAATGAGATCGTTTCTTTTTTTTTTTTTAATATAATCATTATTCAACTATATCGGACGTGTAGAGACTTTTAATTTCCTTGTATAGTTTTTACTTCAATTTCCTGGCTCGAAAGAAAGAGCACGGCAGAAGAAGGCATTGTTGCTCCGTCAATAAATTTCAGAAAAATGTGTTTGTTAATTTAATGCGATAAAATTATATTACGAAGACACGGTTATGCCGAAATGACTGATAAACTACTCGAGGTAAGTAAAAACTATTTATAACGTAAGATATTGCTGGTTTCACATTCCTTATTGATAAGAACTGTTGACTACTTAAATTACATTACAAGCTTGCAACGTAAACACAGTTATATAAGAGTTACATAAAGTAACTCTTCGGGTGGCACAAGCGTCAATCATTTTTTTTCACTTTTCTGTTGAAAGGGCAATCTGTTTAATAAGAGATAAAAAGGCGATCGCATCGAGTGCATTGACTAGATAACACGCGATAACGTATCAGAAAAAGATATCGGCCCAATACTATTTGCCGATAATTCGGGATGCAACGGGAAAATTTACATAGATTCAAACCAACGATTCCGATTCGATTACTCTCACGCTCATAATCCACTCCATCGAAATCTCACGATCCAACCACGATTCTGTGCACTGTATCATATCGATCATATCATATCGATCGAGAACAAAACACTGGCACTGATGGAGCACGGTCGATTCACAGAGCAAGAACACACAAAACAATCAGGCACACTGCGCGCCTCGACGCGAACTGAGCGCGCAAAGCGATCTACGTACAGGGGGATCTACGAGGCCCGAGCGACGCTCGATCCTATTGGCTGGTGTGCGTGGCTATCTTCATGGTCCCGCGGCCATTCGACTGCGTGTCGAGTAGCGCGCTCATTTTCAAGTAGAAACGTCCCTTTTTAGAGAGATACGTGTTATGACATAGGCAGACGATAAACATATTCCATCTTATCCAATGACTGCGCGATTTCTAGAGCTACACTTTCGTTTGTTCACACGAGGTGTTTCCAGTGTTTTCCCGATATTTGGACAGATATCGACAAATTTTACTCATTACGGAGACAGTTCAACCTCTTGCGAACGCGTGTCGGAATATTTCCGATATAATACTTTTGCCGTTTGAGATATGTATCAAGAATATTTCGATACTATATGTCTTTACATATGTATTTTCATATGAAACATTATTTTTACTTTAGCTCAACCGCAGAACTCGATACGGAAGCTCGGTGGGAAACCGGGAGGAAAGGTTCGCGTGCCACATAAATCGTCGCAACAGGTTCAGAGGAATTCAAAGTCGTTAGAGATCGGCCGGACAGCCGGCTTGTTGTTCCGATAATTGTCGATTAATTAAGACTAATTACCCACGCCAATTTATTCCGTTTCCACATGGTTAATTCGGTGTGTCTCGATTGCGGCCGTGATATATCCGCTCACGTTATTATAATTGTTATTATACGCGGAAAAAAAAATTCAATTCGTGTAACTGTATTTCGGTTATGACAATTTAAATTTTCTATTTGTTTGGGACTAGATGAAAACTCGATTGTAGAAACAGAAAAATCCCTATAGAATGCTTCCGCTATTCGGACAATTGTACTCAATTAACCTTAACCAAATTATATTGCTATTCCGACAAAAATATTATTTTTTCCCTAGTGGAATTTAAAACTCCTTGATTCCGAGACTATCGCCTTAGTCTGCAGGATCACTAACGCTGCTGGTATGTCGAATATAACGGCAGCACATGTTGCTTCGCATTCTCGGTTTAGGTAACCGAATAGTTTAACGGAACGGAAAATTTCGGTTCCCCGAACCAAGAGAATTTGTTGATGTAAACAGTCTTTCAGCTAGTAAAAAAAGGCTACATGTTATTGTAACCGAAACTCAATTAACTGAATATTTTCAGTTGTCATAATCGAGTTAGTTTTTTCCGTGCATTAGCAATTGGCTTATTATTTATACTACGCTCTGAACACGACTCGTGGAAATGACAAAGTCAAGCGTTCGTGTGTAAAATTTAAACTTAAATAACAGGTGTTGTGAGAAACAAAGGAGCCGAGTTATGGCAGCGGAGGTAATTGTAATATGCGTGCAAAGATAAAGTACTCACATTTGTAGAGAGCTGACTAGTCAGTGAGTGCACCTTCTCCTGGGCATCCAGCAATTCGCGTCGCAATTTTCTCAACTCGTGCGCCTGCTTTTCCTCGGCCGAGCTGTAAAGGCTGCTCGCAGTCGACACCAGTGATACCGAGGAGCCGTGAACTGAGAAGAAAGTAACCACGACAACCCTTCATTATAGCGCGTTTTTAACGTTAACTTCATCTTGGATTCTGTGCGAGTTTAACATTAACAAATAGCCTACGTGATCTCGGGAATCTGGCGATTCATCGGCGAAACATTTCTCTTTTAAATAAACATTTCTCGCGAGAGGATTTGATGAAAAGACCAACGATGGAAATCCTAGATTAGTGACACAAATGTCGAACTCACTGTCATCGTCCTTGTGTACATGCTGGTACAGGTTCGGGGGTTGGCGCGAGGTGTGCGTAGGCGTCGGTGATGTCGGCTGAGACCAGTGTTGGCCTGTGCAGCCCGCCGATCCCACGGGAACGCTGTAATACGGCTCCACACCGACCCCCATGCCGATCCCAATCCCGACCTCTTCGCCCACTGACGACGAGGCGCCGCTTCCTCGTGCGAGCATCGACGGATACATCTTTTCGCTCTTGGTGGATCTGTGAAAATACAAGCGCAGTTCTCTAGATCCCCCACGCGGCCTTTCCATGTAAAATTCTTCTAAAGCTAGACTCCGAAGAGAAAGTCTTTCAGCCTGGGGGACGCTTTCTTTCATCGCCGATTAAATTGCGAAGGAATCGAAAGAGGCCGAAGAGACCAAATTTTTGTAAGTTTCTTTGCTTTCTTTGCTGAATACGCGTAACAAGAGATATAAGAGAAATCAACGGTGTCGAGTCTCTCGCAGGTCTAACGTTTTAGTTTCTTTTCACCAGCGATTCAATCGTAAACTAGATTATATCTCAAGAGTTGTGTGATTTATTTCTAACGATTACGCACGTGTGACAAATAACAGAATGAATCAATACACAGCGAATGACTGTCGATTGGTTGGCCTGGAATATCGATGAAGCATCGCGCATGCAGCTGTACACAAGCAACACGATCGAATGACGAACTTTGGCACAATATACAACGTCAAATCTGCCGTACGAATAACGATTAGCACAGTATGTATTGGTCTGTTTGGAACGTCAATAGTGATTTTCTAAAGATAATGATGACAGCAGACCCGGCGGAAATATATGCGCTTGTAATTGTTGTATTTGTTCGAGTTTTGCGCTCTGATTATTTCGATTCCTACACACAGGAGGAATCTTTACGGTGAAACTTTTATCATAGAGTCTTGGAAAAGGCAAGTTCAGTTGGGCCCCAGTTTTTAGTTATTAAAGATAAATTCGGAAAAATGAAATTTTTAATTAAACTAATCGAGAGAGAAAGATCTATAAATATATAAATATCACATTTGTGTTTTCGGTAACAAGATCACTACAAATTTTCCGAACAATTCAATACATGATAGTTCTAGTCGTACGACGCATGAAGTACACTCGGTGAATACGGTGTGTGCGTGATTGCGTGAATTAACTCTTGGGAATTAAAGAAGAGAATCCGAGGATCCAAAGTTTTGAAATTTTTGGATTTTAAATTTGTGTAAAGAACTGAGATTTCAATTTTCAAAATTTCTCAGTGTTTCTACTCCTAAAATGGAATATTCAACGCGCGAGATGACAAAGAATCTCGCGGGAAGAATCTTCGAATCTAAGGATTCTTTCAGGATCAAGAGAGACTCGCGAATATATGTGCGAGACCGGCTCTCGAGCGTGTACGTATAAGTGTATGTGTGTATATGTGTGTACGCGACGACTCTACTGATCACGTCTTTTTGATACTTATGCGTGGAAAATGAGCTCGTCGTCGTGTGTACGCTAGACACTTTCGCACTACCTTGGGAATGTCCTGTCCCGCAGATGGCTAAAACGGTCAATCAGATTGTCCTGCGTTATTTCACGATATTTCGGATCGATTATTCGTGAAAAGTGAGTCAGACAGAAGAGAAACAGCCGGATAGAGAAAACTGCTCGTCGATCGAGTAACTGCATATGCCAAAGACATTCTCTAAGCATGCAGCAACTATACGTATTGTATCAATATTTACAATCGAAACAATTGGATTCTCAATGGAGTCCTCGAACGCGACCAATATACTTTTGTGTCAAACATTAAACGTATATCAATAAACAATTGATGCAACAAAAATCTTCAATCCTCCGGCAAATATTAAAAAAAATATATATAAATATACAGTCTTCGGCCATATTATTAGACGTACTTTGATTTTGTAATAGAATACAGATTAGGAAGAGAAAAAAAGCTATTAATTTTATGTTTATTCTATTAGAATCATTTTCGATGTCAAACAGCGTTTTTACCTCTACAACCTTCTGAAGTGTCAAATCACTTGTATTATCCATAATTTTTGTAAACAATATTAATAATATTTTTCACATCAAAATTTATTTTTTGTTAGTAAGCAAGGAATTTGTTAGTAAGCAAAGCACGTCTGTTCTCGTTATTATCAACGATGTAACTAGCGCGGGTTCATACATGTTTAAGCTCATTATAACATACATTATAAAATACATTATAAAAAATACCTTTTATAGAATAATGGTTCCTTAACATGATTCGATCGATACATGAGCCGTATTATAAAGTTGGTCCTCGGAAGTCAATGAGATGTAAAAAAATTAAAGTGCGTCTAATAATATAGATAGAGACTGTATAAAATGCAAAACTGTATTTAACGCGTTAAAAATGTCAATGCTTTATTCAGTAAAGTTCAAGATATCGGATATTCGATTTTATTGCTAATATTCATAGAGCTCAGAAATAATAGTTTTACAATAAAAAATATTACTGTTGTAAATCCCATATATAATCCTTGATTGTTGCATCAGTTGAAATATGTTATTACTGACTCGAGAACCTATTGCCGACAAAATACAAATTGCTGAGCGAGACACGACAGAATTGACTGACCTGATGGAGTTGCTTCTGTTCAATCTAGGCGGTGCCGGAGATCCTGTCGAGTCTCTTTGATGCATCAGGAGGCGAGCGTGCGTCAGACTCGCGCGATGTGAGCCCAATGATTCTACGCTGTCTGCTTCGCATAAGCCCATCCCTGAAAAAGACAGTCTCGAGATAACACAAAACGACGAAATACGAAGATATATAAAAAGTAAAATTACCTTGTGATCGTCCGCTGGGCGTGTAGGTGTTGCTGTGTCTCATCCACGAGGTGGTGTAGGGGCTGCTGGACGTATAGTAGCCCTGAAGATCAGGTGCAGCGTAATTGCTGCACGTGTCGCTGAGACTACCATCGGACGGTTTCAGCACTCGGGGTGAGAAAGACGCGCTTGTCGGCCCAGCGCCAGCACCTCGCTCGCGATGATGAGCGGCCGCGAAGAGAGCGGTAAATTCTGGACTGCCGGGCTTGGGCAGACTCTGAGAGCCCAGCATGAGACGATCGCGAACCGACTGCGAGAGCTGACTAGCGCTGGGACCGGTGAGACTGTAGCTCTTATAGTGGTGACCTTGACTGGATGCTGACGAGTTTGCCTGCAACTCTGTAGTGCACGTCTGGGTACCGCCAGATACTTTGACCTGAACGCCCAAGAGTGTTCATTTATTAGTTCGTTCATCAAGCGCAATTTAGCGATTCGATTTGAAAAAAGCAAGATTAATTGCCGAGTAATACCACCTTGGTCCTTGGCACAGCGCTGACTTGAGCCGTTCTGGTCGCATCCTTGCCACCATTCTGAACCCCGTTCGGACTCGGAGTGGTGCCGGCGCTGTGTCTTTTCACGTAGCCGAAACTCTGCGGCACTCCGCGAACCTTACTACTGCTGGTGGTCGACGTACTCGATGAAATTTTCTGCGGTTTCTCGCCGTTCGCATATTCGGCCATGGCCTGTTTCCGATGTTTATCCTGCATTTAGCGACAGAAGTTGAGCGGTTATCGTTAATGTTCCGAATAACAGAGCACGAACAGTGATAATTATTATTATTCGTAGACGCAAGGCCTCTCTCTCTCTCTCTCTCTCTTTCAATAAACCTCACCTGTGATCTCCTGGAGGGACTAGGGCTAGGGGGTGCGCCCTCCTTGTCTCTCTCCCGATCCCTCGCGGCGCCGGCTTCGATATATTTTTTCCATTGTTGGCTATTGGAACTACTCGTAGAGCCGTTCGAGCCTTGCTGTTGCTGTTGTTTGAAGGCTGAGCTCTCAGTTTGCTGAGAACTGTCGGACTTCTTCACGTGCGGATGGTGGCCTGGATGTCGCGAACCCACCACACGATATACGAGATTGTGGTTACCTTGCTGCGCCCCTTGGGGGGTGGCCGATCCTCCGCCACCCCCCACGATTACGCTTCCTCCAACCGGCACCCTCTGTTTTTTCGAAAGAATGTAGAATTTATTAATTATTATTATTAATTAATTAATTATTATTTTAATTACGTGGACAATTTGAAAAGCTCGCGATTTTACAACGAAAAACTGACTTTTTCTTGGAATTATTTTTATTTTTCAATATAATCCCCTTGTATTTCAATATACTTGGTCCAGCGATGTTTCAGTGCTTTTATCCCATTGTGGGACAAAAATTGCGACCAAGATGCTCTCCGTTTTTTTTCCAATTTTGTGTATTACTTTATCCAATAAGATTTATTAGATCCAATAAGATAAGATTTAAATACTCGCCAACCTGATTACAATACTCTCTTTTCCCCTTTTTAAATTTTTAATATTTGATCACTGCACGATGTTCAATTTTCTCCATTTTTAACAATGCACTGAAGTGACTTTGTTTAAACAGTTATTTCTAACTAATAATTCAGCAAATTGACTTAATACTTCACACTTGTTCATAAAGCGAATGTGGCGCTACGATGCGATAAAAAACAGAAACACGATACTAACCTTTATATGGTAAGCTGCGAACTTTTTAAATTGTCCGCATATATGGATTTTATATACATACACACGTGTATCTACATACACACGTGTATCTACATATACTCTTTATATCTTCTTGAAAGTATAACTGTCATACACCCAGTTACGAGATACGTTGTTCACACGTCTTATGTACGAATTTTATGTAATATGATAACGAGATTTCGATTATGTGCCAAAATTCATATAACAAATTCTTTCTAATGTAGTCGCTATCGTGTATCTTGGTCTAAAGATTTGCAGGATGGTATAGATATCGATTTTTAGTGTACTTGGTAAAAGGCAGAACACCATAGTACGATTCCAAGCACAGGCGCCGTTATGACGCGACGCAACATAACGCGACGCGACGCATCGGGAAGGCAGCTTTCACCGCCATTCTTGTTATCTAGAATGTCTATTCTCAACTCCTTTTTTCTCTTCTTTTCTCTACCTTCATTTTTATGATATCATGCATGATATCATATATAAGTGCGCGCGCGCGTGTGTGTGTGTGTGCGTGTGTGTGTATGTAATATCATTGTATTCGTCGTGACAAGGACTACAAATGTAGGTTTAAAATAATAGAGTTCCATTAAAAAAAAAAACACCTTGACCTTCATTTCACCTTGGAGCCTCCACCTAAAATCAAATTTTGTTTTATCAAACTGTGCCCCCTTTGAGATACAATAACATTTGAAATTTCTCACCCTGTATATATACAGTAATACTCCGAAGTTACGCGATAAATATATATATATATATATATATATATATATATATATNATATATTGCAACAGCTTTAAATTTGTCAGAAGAATTAACGATCATTATACGTCATTATATTCCTAAAATTTTTACATTTTAGCGAATTATATATTATTCTATTTGTGTAGTATTTAGTATATATATATTCTCTTTGTACAATCTTTAGTGTGTGTATATACATATATAAAATTGTAACAGCTTTAAATTTGTCAGAATAATACATAATTTGCTAAAATGTAAAAATTTCAGGAATATAATAACGTATAATGATTGTTGGTTCTTCTGACAAATTTAAAGCTGTTACAATTTTTTTTTCATAAAAAAAAAATGTAAGCAAGTATTATGGAAAAGTCTCAAGCGTCGAATGGAAAAGCGTCGAATGGAAAAGTCTCAAGCGTCGAATGAAAATCGTGATGAAATGTATGGAAGCTGTCAAGATGAAACGAGGGTGTGTATTCCTTGCCCTCGTCTATTTCTCTACGTGGAACAACGAGTGACTCACAAGAGGGTAGGAACAGGAAGGTTCCTCGAGTTTTTATGACGTGGATCGTAAATGTATGGCAGGAAGGCTATAAACGGACAAAGGACCCGCGGGTCAAAAACACGTTTTTTTTCAATTTCCAATCCTTTGTAAAAAAGCACTTCGTATAGTATAATCTTTCCCACTTAAAACTGCTTTCTCTAAGCTTTCTCAGAGTAAATAATAATATCCTCTCTAAATTATGCGCAATTTCTTTAAATTAAAGATATTTAACTTAAAAGGGTGAAGGAAATCCGAATCAATAATCGTGTTTTTTATTTTCATCGATTTAAAAAAAATCGTCGCTTTTATATATACAACATTCAATTTCCTCCAAAATCTACATTATATTTCATGCTTGTCCAAATTTATCGTTGTTCCACTTTCTACGTATAAATTGTATGTTATCCGTTCTTCTGCTTCTTTGCGTTCTTTTATGTTGCTTCTTTTAATATCGAAAGTGACATATCGCGCACCATGGTTACAATGAACTTTTAGGCAGGAAAAATAGCAAACATTGGCGTCTTTGAAGTGCGCGAACTGGGCGCGAGAGTTCAAACAAACGGCGCGCCTCTTCCGAGTAGATGGTTTCCCGAGATTCTTTCGCGGTACGGCTGAGGTTTATTTTCCGAAATCCTCACCGTGAAAACATCACATTTTTTATGTTTGTAAATTTAAATCATAGCAAAGCGTTACCTCGAGTGCCGTCCGGCAGGATAATATCGATTAGTCGATATTATATATTATTTCCCGAGAATAACAGTTGAACAAAGAACAATATCATTGACATTATTAATATATTTTTATTGGAATTATATATATGGCGTAGGAAAAGTTATGATTACGAATTACCTTCTACGAGATATATGTGTGTGTGTATATGTATATGTGTGTGTGTGTGTGCGCGCGCGTGTGTGTTCACGATTGAAAATATTATCCTAGATAATTTTTGTTTCATTCTTTTTTTTCTTTTTAATATATCATTAATGATAAGGTATCGAGAAACGAATGAATAAAGTGTCGATCACGGGATTATCGATTTCAAGTAAGTTTTCAACGAGTGAAAGGAATTACTCACCATAGATTCCCTCTCGTCCAAGTTCTAATAATTTTTCATGAATTTTTCTTTCTGTCCTTTTCACTCATGATTCGCGTGTGTGTATATATATAATTGATATAATTTATTAATCGTAAATATTTTTATTACGATTCTATTTCATCAACTCCTTTCGTTTTCTCGTTCACAATAGCTATTACGATTATTATTTCTATAAAGATACTAAATTATTCTAAAGTTGCGACATTGGAAAATTCAGCTTTTTATATATAATATCTTTTTCAATTTTCATCGAATCATAATAAGATGTTATTTTAAATAATATTTCGCGAGGATTCTATTTCTTCTGACACTCGTCGCATCAGTTTCTCGATGCTCCATTTTGTCATCGTGTACCGCAAGAGGTGGAAATTGTTGATCAGTGTTCATCGCGGAATTAGCATGTTGTGACTAATCGATCGGCGATCGCTGCTTCGGGAGTCCAAACCGCAGTTACGAAACACCTGAGTCAGCACGTAGCCGATTGTAGTATGCGTGCAGTAACTAGCAATGGGGACCTATTACGCGGTTTTCCCCATGAGGAAATTGGGAATGTTCCTGTCAACAACGCCCTTCGATTCCTCCCGCGGCAATTTCGAGTTCCAGTTCGATTCCGAACACGTGTTAACTTTACGATATTTGTAATATGAAACATTGAACACACATACTCCATTAACAAATATTTTGTATGGGCTATTTTTCAAAAGCGATACGAATTTATATGGTAGAAAAGTCCCGATACTTCCTTTAACGACATCAATTGTACACTGAATTCACTGAAAAATTTCAAGAATACTTTTTAATTAATCTTATTATCACTTTTTTCACGGTTGTCAAATTACGTTCGACGTTATAAATACTACTTATATTATTTATATGTATGGGTATATAAAAGTCATCCTTTTTTTGCGCGTACCCGACAGTTTGTACTGTTTTTTTTCCTAGTACCCCCGTAATATAATTGTCACCATTACGATAAAGTTATAACGCGGTATTAATTATCTACCAACTATGATTTCACTTGACAATATACACGTATTCTCGACAATTTCCATGCAGTTTTCTCGAAAGGCACAAAGGTTGGCGCTTTGTCAGTCCAGAGTTTTCGACATGCGTTACCGTTACGTAGGTATATGAGGCGCCCGAACGTTAACCGTCGACTGCGAGGGTCGACGATCCATTGCTCACCGGCCCTCTCGCCCCCACTTTAGGCTCACTGTGTAATATTACTAACGTGAGTTACCCCTCCCGAATATTACACCCGTTCTCTACAGAGTGTTGCAAAAGTAACGGAGAACAATTGTAGCAAAAGGAGAGATCAGAAATCACGTTAATGGCGTCATACTCGTTTTTTCATAGTGTCTCTCTGTAACGTTTTCGAGAATCAAAAATTTTGCGTGCAAAATGTTGAGATATAACGAAATTTAGTTCGATTAAGCCGAGAGTAGATTTCGCTCGGAACAAAAGGTGCGGTACTCGCGGGCCTGCTTGTCTTAAATCACCTTGTCTTAATCGATTTATACTCGAGAGAATACAGGAGGGAAAAAAGTATTGTTCTGGTCGGCGATAAGGTACTCCAAACAAGTCCCCTGTGTTCTCTTCAGAAGGGTTCCAAGAAGGATTATTACGTGGCAACCGATACTTCTCGTTTCGCATGGCCTCGCAAGATAGTCGATAGTTCAAGACTAGATTTTAAAGGTAGAATTACGTACAAAGATGCGAAAATATAAAGAAACCTATCTATATCCTCTTGCTGCTTATTTATTGTTCATTTTTCGACTGTAGCTCATTTGTTTTATTAAAGAGTCGGAACAGAGAAAATGGACAATTTTGACTCCTGTTACCGTTATATGGTCGCAATGATATTACATAGGATAAATAGAATTAAATAGCAATTGTGGAGAATTTCATGATTTTGTGATTGAGAGTATACGAAGTTTTATAATTGAATTTTGCTCAAAGAATCGGAATTGAGTAAAAGCAATTGTAAATTAATAGGTGGATATTTGTTTGTACGAAATTCGCCAAGTGAAGAACAGAGCCAATTGCTTTCGCACTAACTTATCGATAATCAACGCCAATTGCGAATAAACGCATAAACATTTAAACATTTAATTAACGACGATTGTTGAGCTTAACTGCCATCGATATTACGATTCACTCGGCGATAAATAGCCTATCGAACGAGAATAAAAAAAGAAGGGAAAAGAAATCACGGGAGAAAGTATCGGTTATTATTTCATTATAATAATCGCCGTTAAAAGAAACCTTTATATCGACAACTTACTTCAAAGCCATTAAAATGGCCGATTTGCGAACGCATAATGCATGGACTTATGGATAATTAATAGACCGGCTCAACGGAAAGAGGTTATCGTGCGCAGTCCAACGGCAAAAAGGCTGATTAACTTAGCTATCTTTCTACGAGGATCAATTCAATGAAAGCTGATCATCTTCGACAAGAGAGAAATTTTTTTCAGAAAACAAAATGAGATCGGCAAACGCTTATATCTCAGCGTAACGCCTTTTGAAGAGGGACAAGTTAATTTTACAATATTATAAATAAGACGAAGAAGAAAAAATGAGTAATTGCGTGGTAAATGAGTAATGGGAATACTGGTAATAGAGAACGTAGAACAGAATGAAACTGTAAAACCGTGATTTGCAGTGACTCGCCGATGGAAAAATCGTCCTCTCGATAATGGAACATCCAATAGTACACGACAGCTGTGCGATGCAACAGCTGACGCGCACACACGTTCCATGCGACTGTGCGTGCATGCGTGTGTACTTGTGAGTTCGTGCCAGCACACATACATTACAGACCCTTGTGATTGTACAACGCTGTTCGAGCGTTAATTAAAACATACTGTTATCGATCGGTAACATTGTCGTTAAAAGTTCGACCGCTCTGTTTCAAACATAATTAAAGAGAAAAAATGACCATTATGTGATATCAATGATAAAAAAAGTTGAAATAAAAATTTGTCCATTTTACAACCATCCTCCGGTTTGATTAGAAAGACGAGTTTTCTATCAGTTAGTCGAAAGTATTAGGTGGTTTTGGTGTATTTCTACCGAGAACGATGTTACTCGTTGTGCTATTGACTCGCTTCAAAGTATGAACATATATTCATTGACGGATAGGTATCCGCCAATTATCGCACCGATAATCCCTGTAATCATAGGACATTTCCAACGACTCTGTACGTCAGCGTTAATTCCTCTAGTCATCCAACGTGTTATTGATGGCAGTTGGGTTATTTTCCCTGATAACCACCAGTTAGCTATCTATCCCTCGACGATATAAAAATGAACATTGGAAAAGAAAGAAAATTTAAAAATCAAGATCCTCCTAAATTTGGTTGTTTGGCTCGAATGAGATACGTGTTCGATTCTTTCCTTTTATCTTCGATCGACAATCTTACAGCAATTTCGACGTATTATTATTTCAAATTGCCTCTCGACTTCTCCACAATACGCCAATTCTCTAAAATACGCTTTGAAGATCAAATATTCCTTATGATAAGGAAATGGATGGCTATTGATCGTTCAATTAACGATAACGAAAAGTCTCGACATCGCGCAGACTCGCTTAGCCAGGGATTCGAAGCATCTGCCTGAGAAGGGAGCGAGGACCACATTAACAAGTAAATTAACACCAAACGTGACTCCAATAATCGAAGAATAAGAATTAATAAATGTTATTTCCGGACGTGTGCGCTTCTCCCTTTTTCTCGCGACACACGCGGCGTGCAAGCGCGCTCGCGCGAACCACGCTATCGATTCTGACGAGTTCGCTGACCTTGTGATGAGAGGGATGTCCCGTGTGATTGGCGGAGGTGTGATTTCCGGCGGGAATGGAGGCCAGCTCCTCGATCGTAAGTTCCGCCAAAGCGTCGTTCCCGCCGCTACAGCCGCCTAGAAGACTGCCGGCGACGACGACGCCGCCGCCGCCGCTTCCAGGACTGACGCCTCCGACACCCCCGATGCAGCCGCCACCGCCATCCGACCTCGCGACCCCCGCCGACGGCCTCTTCTGCACCCGCCTCGAGGTCACCAGTTCCTTCACCCCCGACAGCTCTCGCCGCGAGCCGCCCACGTACCTACGTAAATCAAGCGTCGCCATTATTATTATCCGAATCGCGCAATCTAATTGTGGTTTGATATGACGCTGTTTTTATTCGTTCGCTCAGCCTTGTTACACTTGACATCCGTCGTTAATATTTAAAGAATATTTCATTTTTAAACAGTTCTTCTTTATCTCCTTTCTTCTTCTTCTATCGTAATATCATTATTATTTCATTATTAATGCAAAAGGTTGTACTTTCTTTCTCTTGAAATTTATATCGTGTATTATCGATTTCCTATTACTGTACAATTGTAAAAAGTTTGTTTTCTTCTTAGGTATAATTCTTAGGTATAATAATTCGCCAACGATTTCGTCCGTTATAATGCTTCGTCATTAGTTTTGAGTAATAAATGTTTCCCTCATGTCATTTCGTTTCAGAGAAATCAACGATCGAGCAACAAGAGAGACAGAAACTTGGTCGTGTAGCAAAAAGAGTATGTGACAGCGCAATGATGAGGGAGCGAATACGGCACAGCTTTATTCGACGGTCGGATTTATGGTGTACACGATGCATAAATATTTTTTCGAACGTGCCGCGTATTGGCGCAGAGTGTCCTCTATATCGTGATTCACAGCGATAATAATTATTAATTCTTCGTTGGGTGTGTGCGTGCATCCGTGCGTGTATGCGTGTATGTGTGCGCGCGCGCGTGTGTATATGTGAGAAAGAGAGAAAGAGAGAGGGAGGCAGGTTCGCTTTTATGCGACTTGCAAAAATCATTTCGGATGTTTTCTACGCGTTTGTTTATATCAGACTTCCTCGCAATCCAGACACATATCCGTATATTATTGCAATATTTTATTTATTATACTCGAGTTTTTTTATGTATATTGCGATCTTGCTGAAAGATCGTAGGAGAAATGATAAGTGATTCGAAAAGCAGATGAGTGAAATGATGTATGAATACATTTCTAAAATAAAAAATGTGTGTAGTGTCGTGTGTTAATTCATTATTACGCATTGCTACTTTAGATATACGAGGTGCAAGTACCGCATGGGGAACCACGTTTGTTTTCCAAGAAAAGGGTTAAAAACGCCGATGCGTCGGAAAAGATAATAAACACGTTCACGACGAAGGTCGAGCTTGATTTTATAGCAAGCTTTATAAATTTATCTCGCACGTGCCTTTCTAGGTGGCGGTCGTTATTTTAACTGCCCTTACGACGGCCGGGCGGGGTTTAATGCGCCTCGTAAAAAAAGAAACGCGCTTAACCCCCAGCGCGTTGGGCCCGAACTGATTCATGAGCTCGACGTCTCGAGAAGCTAAACGGCCGAAATTTCAGCGTTACGAACGCGTGAAAAGAGAAGTCACGACGTATCTCTTAATTGCCGAAAACCCTGGTGAATCAACGGTCGGTGAGAAGAGATTATTTTTCTCCTATTTACAAGGAGTCATTTCACATTTCATCTATGCTACCTATCTTCTTTCTAGAGTGCAATATTTTCAATGCTCTGATAAATGGTTGAATTTTCTGAAAATGCGGTATTTTTACTCCATAAATAAATGTTAATTTCGTTCAATTTGAAATTGTAGATTGGAAACTTGCGTTCATTTTGCATTCGATTCTCCCTCGTTGTAACAGTGATCGGATGGACGTTGTTCTTCCAGTCGCGCTAATTCGCGGAATGCCTTTTGACTTCCGCGATCGACGAGCTCGTTGATCACTTTACGCGGATTAAATATTTGCGGAAAGCTCGAGCGACGGTGGAATTGCAGCGGCAACTTTTGAGCACGCGCGATAACTCGGTTCTTGCTGGACTGTGAGTTCGGAAAACTTGGCCTTCGTTTCTCGAATTCCCTTCACGGAACTTGCGATCACGAGGACAATTACGATCGATGCGATAATTAAAAAGTTATGACCGACGAGAGAAAAACCGAAGAGATTCAAGAGAAGAAAATTTCACCAAAATCGCAAATCGCAATCTGCGAGAACAAAATTCTCACTTTCCTAGAACGTTCCTTCGTGTTTGTACGTAATATCGCGTCTGATTTAATTTGTCAACAGATTAATCGTTGATCGAGAAGAATTCTTTTGTTTCCTTCGATGTCAATTTTGGACAAACTCAAAGTTAACAAGATGAATTTAACTTTGTAACAAATGTTGAATTCATCCGTATCAATTTCCAACAAGTTTAAAAGGATCTGTCGAGTACAATCTACGACACATTGCAACATTTGACGGTTGCAAACTTTATTCAGCCATAACTTGAACTAAACTTAACGTCCAACTTTGCGAAGAGATACTCGGTCTCGTAGTGTGCGCGATACGAGACAGGCGGAGAAAAGGAGGAAGAACAAAGCGAGGGTGATGGTGGAGTCTGTGCTACTATTCAGAGTCATCGCAAAATTCGCAAGCATTAACCGAAGAAGCAGATGGATTTTGCGAATATCACAAACGCGAGATGTCACAAAGTGATTACAAATTTTAACATTGATTAATCGGCCTTTTAAAAGTGTTTGCTCAAATTCGAAGTCTCTTATGTGCCGCAAGTAAATCATTGAGGAAAATAATGTAGATTTCGCGAAAAATGACTTAGGTGAAGGAAAAGGTTTAACTCGAAATACTGGCAAACAGCGAAATTGAAATTGGCTGGCAAACTGACTATAGATCGTAAAATTTGTCAAGAACATTCTTTTCGCTCGACAGGATAAGTAAAGTTTCGTAAGAGAATCGCGCGATGGCTGCAATACTTTACACGTCTGGACCGGCCGCGGATCTCGAGAGAGGAGTAGAGTGGAAAGGAGGCACTCCTACCCGGCTTTCCCTTTCGCCTCTCAATTCGTCCATCCGCATATATTTACGGAATCGTCCAACAGGCGATTTAACGAAAAGCTTCGGGACAAGAGAGAGAGAGAGAAAGACACGAAATTACCGTTCAATTCGAGCCGCCGCGCTCCTTCCGGTGGATTCCGCACACCCTCTCAGGGCGCGAGACCCGTCTCTTCCACCCTCGACACACAAGACACTCTGTCACACCGTACACCGAAAAACCATTGTGAAACGAAGACTTCAAGACGCTCGAGAAGGACAAGAAACGGGTTTACCAGGCGCAAAACTATATCGCCGACGAAGACGACGAGGACGACGACGTCGTAGACGACACTCCCCACCCTCGGCACGGCACGTACTCTCCTGCCTGCTTCGGCGAAGCAACCCCCTCGCGAGCCGCCCTCGAGATAGCGCGCCGACGCCGGCAGGTCGCACCACCGTGCGCGACGCCGCCGGATCGATCGTCGTGACGTCATGACGCCCACGCAAGCGTCGCGGATATAATATCGTCTTCTGCCTTTTTCTCAAATAGTAGAATTCATCGAAATAAACGCATCTCACCGTAGATCTCCGATGGCTTTTTAATTATACGAAATTGTGATGGAGAATCGATAGCAAAGTGAGACGTTACGCGCAGCGTCCTGTATCAATATCTCGATTTATTGACTTTTCATCCGTGTATATGCTCGGAAATAAAAGGTCCGCAACTACGTTATTTCCAAGATGAATATCAGTTCGCAATATATGAAAATAAGCCATTTTGTGAGTCTCGCATTTATACAGAGCACGCACCGAGCATGCGAATGCACACCGAGTCTTTGGAAATTTTTCTAGATGATACGATACTCTCGGCCGATTCGAATATTTTTTTAGCTAATGCATCTCCGTAGAACGCTCTAGAACAATTAAGAATCTACTAATCCAGAATATCCTACTTTTACGGAGCATTATCACGTGCGCAAGTTTATCTGTGCCGAGTGTAGTCGCGCCAGATGCGCAGCAGCATCTCTCGTCTCGTCGCACCGCGAGGAAAAGGGACGTGTTGAGTTGTACATGCCGCGAGGAGAGGAGTCACACAGGACAATGCTGGAGGCTGCTGTCAGAACGGACAAAGGCGCTTATCTTTCTGCATACATTACGCGCCATAGTGCAGCGTCGCATCGCGCAAACGTTCGCCTTCTTCTCGCGCGGTAAATTCACTTTTCGTTCTGGTGTGCGCTGAGAGAATACATTGTCCGCTTTAAATGCAAGCCTTTGCTCAAGGATAACCGAAAACGCGAGACCATTGTACGACGTTGCAATATTTTTAACAACAATTAATTCGATGGTCGCGCTACCATTACAAGAAATTATTTGTGTTTCACTATTAGTATGAATTGTATAGAGCACCAACGAGAGAATCTCTCGTTATTCTTATTATATAGAAATATATCATGTTACTGAAACTATTCGATATCACCATAGTTAGAAGAATGAATTTTTCAAAGTGGTACGAATTTCTGTTAGTCAGCCACTCGGAAAACGTGGTACCTTAAATATCGCGTATAATCCACCGTACGAAATACAAAGGAATATACGATCGTCGATTTCGGACTGAATAACATAGTTTTTGCGATACGTTTCTTTTTAAATACATCTGGATTTATTAGATGGACGAAGGGGAGGAAAGCTTTCGTGTGGGAGTCGCAAAGACCCGCAGTAATCGTTGGAATATGCCCGGCGTCTTTGCTGCCGGCTCTATAAGGTTTTCCTCGATGATGGCGACGAGGGTCGTGGAAGGGTCTCGGCCGAGTATATTGAATTTCCGAAAAGCGCGTTAGGTTTCGAGCCGAGGGTTGATACGCCGCGTCTCCGATTATGCCGAGCGGGTTGGGCGAAGGGTTCGGCCGTATCCTCCGGCCCATTTTCGAAGCGTTACGGTAAACAACATTATGCGTATAATGATTGCGATATTAATAAACAAAGGAAAAAAGTCTTTTAATTATATATATAGGAATAGCACAAACACGCATCTTTCTTTTCGCACGCGTGTAGAGAGAAACTTTTTTTAACATTATTAATAGAATAAGACACACGTCCGGAAAAAGAGCTCGTGAAAGCTCTGCAACTTAATAATCTTCATTTTTAGCAATTGTAGTGAAATGTAAAACGAAAGAAGTGACTTCTGTAACATATCCTTGTTATGATGGATCGAGTTGCTCGGGAGGAACACCAAGAAACAGCGGATGTTTGCAGAAATGGGTAAAATCGCTTACGCGGATTAATCAACTGGCCACGCTTTAATTCGATCGCGGCAAAAACGGACCGCGTGACGTTTTAGTAATCGGATGCGCGTCCGGAATTAACCCCGCGAATTTCGCCTAATTAGAAACCATTAGATGTGGTAGTTGTAATTTCTCCATAAGCCGCGCCAAATGTCTCATTCTTATGGGCGTGCGAATAGAACGAGATTCGAAATTCGGCTTCAAACAGTCAAATTTAATTAGAATAAATATTGTAAATTCCAAAAGTTGGATAGTAAAAGAGTTCAGAGATGCAAGCATGTTGCAGCTATCTGGAATTTGATGGCGAAACCAAAATAAAGTCTCTCCGTGGAAGTCAGCTCATGTATCGACTACGCGTGAATTCTTAGCCCGTCGTTCTGACGGCGAAGATGACGAGCTCTCCGCCGAAAAGCTCGCAAAGCTTAAGGTCCCGAGCTTTCTTGATCAATACTCGGCGCGCTCGCGACGTCGCCCACGCGCTAATTTATCGCCACTCTCGCGCGCGCGTCGCATTTTCGTTTCTCATCCATATTTCATCCGATAAAAAATGATCCGACAATCGGAACTTTCGCGACGTCTCGTGCGAATCGCGTGATCGACGTCGTGTCGATACCAAGCTTAACTCTGAAAAAATTTCTTTGTCGCAAAGACAATTTATTTCTAAAGTCGTCGTTCACGTTCTTCCCCCGACATGCTCGAGCCGTCGATAATAATGATCGTCGACGATGATATTCGTGATATCGATGAAAGTTTGCCGTTGGTTCAATTGAATATTTGCAATATAAATAATAATTGTTTTGCAATCGGGAGGGCGAGTATGGATCGCTTTGCAAATTTCTCGAAATCATGGAAAATATCCTCTAATTATTAATCCTTAGACTTACCGATCGTGCTCGTGGCTGTAGGAAGGATTAATTCTGCGCGCGTACAAAGACGCGCCGCCCTCAGACATGTATCCGTCGCACAGATCCGACAGAGTCCTATTGCCGACGTTCATGCCACCTCCACGCAGCACCTCGCCGTCGCTCAGGTAGCCAGAAGCGACGTCCACATCGGCGTAATCGTGATGACCGACGACGTGGTGATGCGACGACGAGTGCAGAACTGTGTACTGTCTGGCTGTGGTGCGGCTCGGTAGGGTCTGCAAGCCCCGAGCTCCAGGTGTATAGCCGCGCAGAAGAGGCTGCATGGGCTTCACCGTCATCTCGGCCTCGTCGTCCGCCAGAGATCCGCCGCAGGTTGAGCTTTCCGACAGTACCTTCGTGCGGAAAAATGATGGAAAAAATGAACTTGTGTTGTTCGATCTCCCCCAACTATCCTTGAAAAAAAACATCGATAAACGACCTACCTTCTCCATTCGTTCGAACGTGGTGTCGATCTTCCGATTAGGTATTGTTTTGATCTCGCTGCCGCTCTCGCTGCTAGGTCTGTAAATTACGCTGCTGTCGCTCGAGTTGCTCTGGCCGGTGCTGTTGGAGTTGCTGTGCGAGCTCTCGGACATTAAATCCGAGATACTCGGCATCGGCGACACCATCGCCACCGTATTTGGATCGAGCTTGCGGTGAAGAGCGTCGCATTTCGGCTTGCTCGGCGTTGGCACGCCGGTCACGCAGCTCTCCGCTTTCGGCGGTTTCGAAGTGCCCTTCACCAGAGCGGTGGGTTTGGGAATGCTGGAACCTGGACTGAGCCCGGGACCGCTCGGACCCTGAAGCGGTTTACCGAAACTCATACTGCTTTGCGGCGACGCCGTGATAGGATTATTACCGCGAGGACTGACAGCTCTTTCATCGGCGTTTTCGGGCTTCTCGTCGAGCAGCAGCAAGTCCGCATGATCTGGAAGGGAGGGTCCCTCCTTCTTCTCAGCGGTTCGATCGTCGACCGTCTCTTCCTCGTGAATCATCCCTCTATCTCGACTAGTTTCTCGAATCTTGGAAGGCGTACAGAGATTCTCGTCCAGACAGACGACGGCTCGTTGGTCGCGTTCAGTTTCCTTTAGCTCGATCGCCGCTGGATCCTTACCGTCCGACAGATTGGCTTGATTCATACTCAGGGTACGATCGAAGGTGTCATTCTCGCGAGCCATCTCCTCATTCGGATCGGACGGCTTGACGATGCCGTTGGTGTTCGCCAGGATGGCTTTGTGCATCATCAGGTCCTTATTGAAGCCGTTCGGAGGCGGTTTCACGTTGTGCGGCTGAATCTTGAGATCCGGCACTTTTGCCGGCAGTTCCATCTTGGGTCTTGACGATAGTTTCGTCGTCAGCGGCTCGTTTTTCGCACTGGGGCTTTTCGTATCCTGAACGTTCACCTGCCTAGGCGGCGTTAGGGCGGATGGGTTTATCTTCTGAGGCTGCGCCATTGGTGGTTGCTTCACCAGTTCCTGAAGATTCGGAGTCTTTCTGTCGCTCGGTAACTTGCCACCGTTCACCTTGCCGGCACTCCTGCCGTCCGTTTGCTCCTGCGAGACGGGATTGTTGAAAGCCGTTGCCGCCGTTAACTTGTCCGACGGCGTCTTGGTGCGCGCGATCTTGCTCTGGGCTTTGCTCTGTTCCTTCCTGCCCGTTTTTGGACTGGCTTGCTTCGCCGACTTGGTAGCCGACTGTAGCTTCGACTTGAGCGCACGGCTCTTGGGCGACTCTTGACAAGCCTGCTGCTGACTCTTGCTCTGATCGCACAACGAGGTCGAGCTGTCCGAGTGTTCGGACCGCGCCGACGAGAAACCGGACGAGCTCGACGTGCGTTTCGAGACGCCCGATGAGGCCTTGCCGCGCTCCTTCTCCTTGTTGTTGAAGAGCTTGAACTTATCTAGAACGGAATTTTTGTTCGACTGCACCGTTGGCGCAGTGTTGCCGCCGATATAAGGCGAGGCCTGTTGGGCCCTCGAGCCGTTGCCGTTGGGTCGGCCCACCGTGGACGCTCGAGGGCTGCGAAAAAAGGAATCGCATTATTAATAGCCGTACGGAGTATGAGTCCGCTCTACTCTGTCTCTTTTTTACCTTGGCGTGGTGGTTGCCGGCTGTCGGTTCGTCGAGTTCTGGTTTCTGGGTTGCGGAATGAACGAGAGGCTGCTCTGCTGAGACTGCGGTTGTTGCTGACTGGGGCTCGTGCTCCTGGAACTGCTCGCGCTGCCCACGCCACTGTTTCCGTGCTTCAGACCACCTGCGAAGCGAAGACAACGACACTGAGAGGAACATTAATCTCTTCTCGATTCCACCGAATAGCGGATGCGACGATATCAATGTGACGGATCGGAAGATTCCTAGAAAATTCCTGCAAAATAACACCGCAATAACTATCGTTGAAACGATGATCGGCCGCATCATTAAGCGCGCACAGTCGCACGACTGTCGCTGCGGCAGTAGCAGCGCGTAGACGAAATAAACCGTGCGTGTTTACCAAGAGCGAGAAGATTAATCCGCTATCCCGTACTACCAGCCGATCCATTTCCAGAGTAATCGTAGACGTTGTTTCTGTCAAATAATCCGCGTCGACCGCGCAACTTGAGTGAGCTCTTGAAACGTAAATATACTCGTGATTAATCGTGCCAAGTCGAGCTACATACGAGCTGAGTTCGAGAGTAAATATAATCTATAGAATTTTCAATTTCTGACAGTGAATTAGGGCCGCGACGACAGGTGAATCCAGTCATCCGGCAGGGTCGATAATTAAATCGATATTCAAGAATGAATATTCATTTACCTCAACTCTCTATTTCAAAGTCGTTCTAGAAACTTCTTTCGCTTTAATTTTTCTCTATTGCTACAAGCAGTGTCATTTTCGCAAATGAAATTAGTCGCGATAAAAATTTGTCAAACCCGAAATTGCAAGCTGAAATTCAGAGGGAGTTTAGTTTACAGGGATCTTTCGCAATTCATCATTCTGAAAATCACACGCGTTTCGTCACGTGAGTTTCGCGCGCGATTGTTCTTCTTCGTCGATACCGTCATCCGCAGTAATTTGTGCTGATTACGGACGCCTGATACGTCAGCCATCCAAATTGTCGCTGTGCGTGATACAAATTAATTTCGCACAAGATGAATGGAAGAGTTTGACGAACGTTAAATCTGCTTGAAAATAAAGTTGCGTCAAAAGCTTGCTTTGTTAACTTTTTAAAAGAGAGATTATGTCATCTTGTATTGTGTAATTATTTCTTCTATAAACAGTTATCCTTATAATTTGCCCCGCGTGGAAATAAATAGAAGTTAAATATAAATTTAGCAAAGTTTGACAAGATAAGATTCGAAAACGAACGACACATCATATTATTCAGAATTAAATAAAGATGCTCCTTGGGTTAGTCGGTCTACAAATTGAATCTATGTATTCAGAAGTGTCTTAATTGAAAACCGTCAGTCATAGACTGTGTCGTAATAAATTCAATTTCTTCTTTTTGCAGCGCGTACAGAGAAAGAGGAGGAGAAGAAGAGTATTGGAAGAAAGGAACAGGCAGTTTAGGGGAGTTAAAACGTGACCGGGCATTCGCTTATCTCGAGAATGATTCATCACAAATTACGATCGATCGATCTGACGCGTTATTAATGACGCGTACTGCGAATTTCAAAATGGAAGAAGTAGTACCAAATAAATGTTCCTTTCGATATTTCGATTGTGCTAATATTCGGTTAAATAAAGAAATTCTCATATGCGCACTCACACACACACACACACATGCGAGACTCGGGTTGTAAAATAATATTACCCAGGAAAGATTTTTGCGCTAAAAGTCAACAAAATAGTCGATACACGAAAAATTCCTTTCCTTCTCGCGATAGGATTCTTATCTACGAAAGATATTTTTTGAAAGACGATTTTCTGATAATTGAAGTGCGTATGTGTTTTTTATTTGTCGACGTTTCCTCGTGTGAGAGAGAAAGGCGCTGGTTAGGAAAATATCTTACCACCAAAAAATTTTACCGTAAATTTGATATTTAGTTTCTATACCTCCATGACATGTATCCACACGTCCTGAGATTTTTTCGCCAACTATGTCGCTGAACAATAAAGTTGGAAATCTTATTTCTTACATAAAAATAGTATTCTGTATGAGAACATTGTGTAACACTTTTATCACAACTTGTTTAAAATAAATAAATAAAGCAACTAAAATACGCGCACTAATTTCCAGCGTATGACTTTTATAGATTCTCAATACTGTATTATTTATTGGTTTGCAAAAGAATTTCGTTTGAGAGAATGCACTATTTATGAAGAATTTCTCGCAAGAGAGACTCTACCAGAACGAACCGTACTCGTTCGTTCACTTCACTGGCACTAACGTTCGACTCACTCTCGTGTCCCCTTCATTATTCTCTCATTGCTCCTTCCGCCCGAGATAAGACAATATCGGCCCACGTGAGAATATAAAAGTGACGATCAACAGGTTCCCATGACCGATACACTGTCACGTTTCGATAGCCGATGAAAAAATGTATACAAATAGAATAATTTCTAACGATAAGATATTATTTAAAAAATTTGCTTTTAACTTTTACAATATTCCAACAATTATATACGTATATCCGCGCATACGTATAAATTTATTTATATTTCATTAATGTTTGATTGTGTCATTCAGGATAAAAAAATGATTATGCTCGCGCGAATGCAATTCGCGTCCTCTTAGTGTCTTGTGCGCGTTAACTCATATTTGCACTTTATATACAAAATGTTTCGAGTTTTGTTTAGGCTACAGCACTCCAAACGTGCGGAAGCAAAACGGATCGCGATTTTCTACGTTCACGTCAAAATTTATTCACTACTCTTTATTATAGGTGTTTGGTATATGTGTTTCTGTAAGCGCAAACCTAAGAAAACGTTTACGACGCATAAGCGTGTTCTTTTCTCGAGTAATTTTTAAACAATGTCAAAAACGTTTATTTGTTTTCATCTTTTTATATCAAGTATGTCACTTCAGTCCCCTTCTCCCTAGTGCTTATTGTGATCGAGTCATTTGTCTCGCAAATACGGGAAATAAAGATAATGTAAATATTTTCGTCTTGTGACAGAATAAACGTCATGATAATGCAACGAAATGACGTAACACATCGCTCGGAGTATCAATTAAACGAGTAGCAGAAAATAATTTTTTGATCCAACATCTTTCAATAATTTAATCGGGCAAAAATATACTACTTTTAAGGAAAAGTAACTCAATTGTGAACATGTGTAAAACAATTCAAGTATAATGTGTAGGATGTTTATTAATCGTATATTATATTAATTGCAAATTCAGTTAAAATATATTAATAATAACACTTGAATCGTTATTATTATCCGACTCTTGATGACTGCTATTCTTTCTCTTCTTATCGGTGTTTATCAAATAAAATTTATATGGCAGCCAGTCGAACTGCTTGAGCTTAAGCAGAGTAGAAGGGGAGTAGGGGACTGATTAGATACACGGTTCAGGTTCGAGTTACGTCTTCGGCGTACTCTAAGAAAGAGACTGTCGAGGATTAGAAGAGCCCTTAGAAGCTTCTTTGGCTGATGACTAAGCTCGGTCTGGCCTTTTTCGAGGTAAACTTGGTCGGTATCGACTAGCTGTCGAACCGACAGCTGTTGACTTTGACACGCGCGGCACGTGTTACATCGTGCCGGGTTTTCTTCCGGCTTCCAAGTCGGATAGGCATGCGGTGCTTCGCGCGTAGGGGATGATTCCTTCATCTCGATTAGGCGATTAGTCGGAGATTAGATTACGATACCGCGATTATAAGACGCAGATATCTAAGATATCCGTGATTACACAACGGCAACAGTTAATTCGGTTTAGTAACAGTTAATTCGGTTCAGTAACGAGTTAGCGAATTGTTGTATTTAATTGAAATATATTTTTAGGTCTAAAAGAATATACCAATCAGATGCAAGAGTTCACTAATTACTGGTTGTTACTAGACTGGATTAACATCCGTGTAAACATAGTTCGTGATATAGAAAACGACATCTGAACTCCGGAGGTGACACTCGAATTTTAATTCTGAATGAGTAATTCTGTTCAAAGTGGCCTGCGAAATATCTTGACGATTTCTCCTGCTGATAGGTTTTTTATATTGGCAAATGATCGGTGCAAAACAACAAATATAATATCTTGCGATTTTTTTTTCACAATTAGTTATGCAGAAATTCACTTTTGGATTCTTATAATAAGAGATTATAGTTTCATTATGTAAAAAATATGACTATTGTCACGCGCCATAGTACATCTGTTGTATTAATAATATCGTTTCGAGAGGAACGAGAGGACGAGAAAGGAACGAAATTTCCTCGTGCACAAACAGCCAGTGCACGCGATAAAATAGGTGCGATGCGGAAAAGGGACCGAGAAAAAGAGAAAGACAGAGACAAACTATTACACGGTAGCCATTAACAGTTAGCTTACTCGTTTTCTTTATTGCAATCGCAAAGTGAGTGTAAAACGGAAGACAACGACGCACGGGAGGGCACAAGGATACGATTAAACTCTCTTCGCATACCCACGGAGATAATATCGCGCGCGTAATTATCAGGATTTTCAATCGAGAACTCGTTTCAATTTCGATTCGTCTTTCACTACCACGAGATTGTTTCTCTTTCAGTTGTCTTACCCACGTACGTAGAATTAGCGCGTGATGTATCCCTCATTCCCACTCCCATCTATATTCGTAAATCCCCGCAGACGTCCCGTGGGATGTACGTAAGTCCCGTAGGTTATGACTCACACAAACCGCACGCAAACTGCCATGAAGCCTTCTCTTTTCATTCGTTGATTTACCATCGTCCTTTTTCATTCTACGATTCGATATTTGACGACTTTAACACGTTGACTGCCACGGAACTTTTCACCATTCTGGTCTAAGAAACCAATTTGATTTAATCAAGTAATGAAGAGACGAGATAACTCGTAGTTGGTGTCCTGAACAAGTAAACAACCTACGAGATATCTCGTAGTTGGCAGTCAACGTGTTAAGGTAATATTTGAACACATGGGCGATATAAGAGAAGTGTATCCACCAAAAGAGCATGATCTATTATTTTTTAATTTATCTGTCCCCTCCCTAACGTTATCGATTTCTCCAATATCATTATAATTAGAAATTAAGAAATAATCATATGGTAAACTGATGAAAAGGAAAGTGAAGTTAGTTGTACAACGAGAGAAACTGGAGAGAAGCAAAAGGGGAAAGGGGAACAATATTAAATGCAACCGAGTCGAGAGATGAGCCCAGTGAATGCAACAAGGGGGGGGGGGAAGGGAGGATTGCAAATAGGGAAAGAGGTTGCGACGTTGCGAGAGGTCTAGAGCTGGTGGTGACGGCTGAAAATCGCCAGGGGCGGGAAACACCGCGTAGCTGGCATACAAAGGGCGAGTTCTCCGTCCCCGAACAAAGCGGATTCCTCCCCTTCAGTGATGGGGCGTAAGATCCTTGCGAGGGATGAAAATATTCCATGCGCGAACGTGCCGATGTCTAGATAACACACGGATTCGCGAGCATCCGTGCTTATCTACTGGGTGTCTATTATCATAACGATATCATAAATTATTCACATTATGTTTGCGCGTTAATAAATGTAAGAATTTAAAATGTATAATTATCACAAAGGTGCTGTTTTTATAAAGATCTAATTATAATGAAATTGCAATACAATGATTATAAATTGGAATTATGAGCAAAAAGTGCACGTTCACACTTATTATCTCGTGCGAAAATTAACGAAATAATGCTCTACGTGATATCATTATGTCATAACCCATCCTTTGCACATGTACCTTTGTACCATCGATAGATGACGGGGTCTCCACATACACACGATGCATTGGCGCATACTTCGTGATACCTCGTGCGTATACACGACATCGGTATTGTCAATTTAGCATCATACGTACCCGTACATACAATGTCCCGCAGTTTCAACTTGTTCCTTGGCAACCATCATGCCGATGGGGAATTACGAGTTACGACAAATGATAACGCATACGAGGGAAATTGCTGATATTAACGCCGCGAGAAAGAAAGCAAATTGACGTTTATATTATATTAACATATATATTTACCATATATTATAAGCTATGTGTACACATCGCAATCTAATTAAAAATTATCGTTCGAATATTTTTCATTAAAAATGAAAATTTTAAGACCACTTTATCCGCCAACATTTTAAATATTCAACTAAAATAAATGACTCGATATAAAAAAAAAACAATCCCGTTAAACAATTTTTTAACTGTTGATATGAAAATATCACAACTAAAATTATTTCAAGTCTTGAATCGAACAACAAAGGAGGAAGAAAGAGTAGATAAAAATGGAGGACGAGGAGAAGCAAGAAATGACAGACCATGCGAGAAAGAATCGTTCCATACATTATTATTAAATATCTAAGTTAGTTTATTTATGTACTTTCGAATCACCTCATATCACTGTTGATACGAATAATTTTCAGTAAAATATTGTTCGCATTGGACTTTTTCCACAACCCCTCCTTATTTTCTATATCGCTATCATCTCACGCTCGCCTCTCTCAGACTCGACTCACCCCGTAGCATTTCTTTGCTTCAAATGAATGCAGCGGGCTCGTCGGGAGGGAGGTCGATTCTGAAAACCTGTACCGAACCGGTACTCGAATGTGTAGGTGAGTATTTTTAACTCGTACGAAGCTGTGAGGGAAGAGAGGAGTGAGAAGAGAAAGATTTAAGGGCCCCTGAAAGTCCACGTTTCAGCGGTACTCAGACAGTGTATTATCTGATTGTAAAATTGTAACATTTAACCAGTATGTTGAGTATGATAAATATTAAGTATATTTGTACGTTGTTATAAGCAATTAGAAATATTGAATATGTACAAAGGAAAATAATTTAGAAGCATTCAAAGCAACATTCGAAATATTGAATATATCATTTCGTTGAAATTTGAGAAAACTTTCTTATATTCTTTTAAAAACATCACTTTGAAGAACATTTTTGCAATATACTATCAGGTAATTGATAAATTAAACAAAAAATTATTGCGTTTCTTGTGTATAAGAACAAGAACTTTTTCTGGGGGAAAAAGGATTGAGAATCTCTGGTGCTCTCGGGTGTTTCGAGGTTAAAGACCGAGTGCAGCAGGTCTTACGTGTGCTCCACGACTTCAATTTTCTCTCGCTGTCCTCCCCCTTCGTCGCTCTTTCACTACCCTCTCTCAGTGTCCTCCCTTCAACGCTGATCTTTCCGCACTTTCTCTTCCTCTCTTCCGCTTCTTTCTCTTTTCCGTCTCTTTTTGCACGTGTGCGCCGAACGAAAGACGGTTTATAACAGAGCTGACGAATAGTCGAAACGGCCTTTCTATTCTTATTCTTCACTCCTCCCTCCCCCTCTCTCTCTCTTTCTCTCTTTATTTACCTGCTTTCATTCCTTTGAGAGATTTCTGTGGAATTACCGAGCTTACAGTGACTTCATAACGACTATGCGTGTTTCAAAATAAATCTTGCTCAGAATTGAAATTTGACAAACCATATATTTCAAATATTTTCAAAATATTTCAATTTTAGCTTGTAATTTTTAAAACATGTTATTAAATAAACTGGAAATTGTTTAACAGTTATGATTTACTTTTATGCTATGTTGCGGCAGAAGAAGTTAAATAACCGGATGAATGAGATTCTGGAATGGTCTTGAACGTACTAATTACCTGAATTGATACAAATTCAAATTTTTCTTTCTCGTAATACCTTTCGGAGAGTACTTCGTAGCATGCTTTAATAGTGGCTTTAATACAGGACAGCTTTTAATAAGGTCTTTTACTCTCGTTCCTAAAATTTCTTTGGGAAATTCTTCGGAAAATTGTGGGGGTTAGGTTAAAATATGAAATGGAGAGAAATCGATATGAACGGCACGCGTAATCCTGCGTAAATTCTAATTAATTGAAACAAACGTTAGTTTATCTAGAAACTATAATAATACGTGCTAGATACGCGCTTTCGAACCTTATTAAGCGTGTATCACATAAAGGGAAATGTCAAATACATATGTTAGTGTTACGAAAGATTCTCAATTTGCCAAGCAGTCCAAAGTTAAAGGAATCAATCGTAAAAAAAATAAACAATAAAGAAAACATGAGAATATAAAAATGCTTGTAAAGAAATATTTCAGAAGAATTATACTAGCGCAATAAGTTTACGTAAAAAATAAGATAAAAAAGTTATATATATAAGTTTTTTTATTATATAATATATATATAATTATATAATATATTTCGGATCATTTTGCAATACTTTATATTGTTTCAAATTCAAATCATAATTTATAACTTTATTTTTTAAATTTACTCTTCTCTCTCTCTCTCTCTCTCTCTCTTTATATATATATATATATATATATATATATGATTTAAATTTGAAACAATATAAAGTATTGCAAAATGATCCGAAACATCGCTAAAAAAAACGTGACATATTCGAAAATCAAGTAAGAGGATTAAAGAGAGAATCGAGAAGAAATTGTAATGAAAAGTAAAAATTAGACGGAATAGCATGCTACGAAACAAGAAGTTAGAAAGAATTGCATCTAATTCTATTGATCTAGGCCCTGACCTAGACGCCTGGACGAGCCTGTCGTCTAGGCCGTCAACTGCAATGAGCAGCAAATAACCGAAAAAAAAGGGCTGTCCTAAAATAATATCGTAAAGCATGACGAGTTCGCTTATGCGTGCGCGTACACGCATTATGGCCGGCTAGTTTGTGTACGACGTGGAAGTCTATTTCGAACGGCAAGCGCATTCTGTATCCAGACGGACACGCGCGCTTTGATACGGTCACGATATATAGAGTGCAGTGAAAGAGGGTACAGCATCCCCTTGGAGTTGATCAGCGGTGCCCAACCGCTCAAATGAATGATAAGGGTGCGCGTACTGACTTCTTTTTGCTGGGGCAATTTAGTTAGTAGAAATAGCGAGAAAAAAAAATATAAATAACCGAGGAGCAGAACGTTATATCCAATAAAAATGCGTATCGCCTAATATATTGATATAGCGCGATATTTATTTCCTCTTTATATATACACACACACACACAAACACACACATACAAGAATGTTTTATTAAATATCTTTCTAATATTCGATTTGCTTTCATTTGTGAATATTAGATTAAATAGCATATGGACGACAATGTACGTTCCAAAACTACTCGCCAAATTTCCCGAAATGAGCGGAGAGATCATATGTGTTTGTCGGCTTATCAAGGATCGGTCATCCTCGATTCATAAAGAGAGGCAAGTTAGGTTGAGTATCTCTGTAAATCGGGCCGAGCACATCTGGTCCGTAGAAACGTGGGAGTTGAGAGTAAAGTATAAACTATAGGGTGCCAGCCTATCCCCACAAGGGTGGCAGACATCCCTTGGTCTCCCTTCAGCCCCTTCGTGGATAGATAATATTGCTGTATATATGCGAAACGTGCACACCACGTATGTGAAATCGAGAGAATAGACACACACACGCGCACGTGCATTTGTATATAATTTGCTAATTAATATCTAGTGAGAATATACATAATTAAAGCTGACTGAAAATCAAAAAATAACTAATCGATTAATCACTGTTGTGCAAAATTTGAACGTATTTTGCTACTTTTTTGGCGACATCTCACACAAGATAAGAATTATACTCTCGTTTCACGACGTAAACGAGCAAGGTTCATTTGTGTGTTTCGAAAATGCAGCAGTGAGAAATTGATTGAAAAATTGATCGAAGAAACAAAGTCGACGAAACTTACCGAGTTGCGACTGATGCGTCGGTGCCGGAGCCGGTCTGACTTTGTCCGGAGGGCATCTTCTGGTAGCGGCAACGGTCGCGGGTAGGGGTATGCTCGTGCCACCCCCTGGTCCACCTCCAACGCCAACGCCTGACGATTGCTTGTTGTAGGGCGATGGCAGTCTAAAACAAAGAAGGATTCTCACTTGAACTCATGTGTCGTAAGGCGAAGCATTTATACTTTCACCGGCTACAAAATTACCGTCTCGTTGCAAACGTATCGCTTCGTTATAATGTCGCGTTACTTACAACGGATTAAATCATTTCTATTCGTGTGTGGTCGCGTTCGGCTTTCGCGAGGTAACGCGAGGGCCGTTATTACCACGACGTCTGATTAATCGCGTTCGACGCTCGATAAGTGGCCGGATATGGTTTCTTACGAACAAATTGCACACGATCGAATTTCTCAGTTACGCACACGTACCGATAGCAATTTGTTCGACATCGCGTGTTCCATTAATCTCCGACGTGATTTATGATCGGCAATGCTTTTCGGTTCCATTGCAACTGAATGACTCCCTCACTTAGTTTGCAATTATTCGATGCATGCGTTTCATTAGCAACGATCGTCCTCACCATTCTATACGACCATTTTGTCCGGTCGAAAAATTGTGATATTTGCAAAGACCCTAGACAGGAAGAGTTAGGATAACCGAATAGTCGCGTTTGAACAAGCTATACATAAACATATGGCGTAATGTATAATAGTTGCAAAATGCAAGCATAAGGCAGCCGCTGGCTTCGATGCCTTTGGGCAACAAGAACGCGGTATTAGGTCGACCGACCAGCGAGACGAGATGCGTATCGGTGGGACGACATTCCTTCTAATTGCCGATTGCCGGGATCGAACCGGTGCGATTTTTCAAACGCGTGCCAATTACAGATCCTGTCGCCATGATATAGAAAACGTTCTTGCTTGCTTTCTTCCTTCTGATATATAGCAACTCTGATATTTCGCAAAGTCGACACTTAGCTCGTTAGAAATCAAGCTTTCGCGATATTGACATTTGTACCTCAACAAACAATATGTTACATCCAATCTATTCTTAATGTTGATGTGAAAAATTTCATCGTTTTATTATACAAATATTCTTGAGAAATTGAATCATATTGCAAAAAATAATTTATATTACACAAATACACACAGACATAAAAACATTTTTGTGGATTCAATAATAAAGGTAATTACTTTAACTATTGTTGATAGAATTTGGAAGTAATTATGCGAAAATTATCTGAAAATGTCGAGTTTGAATTCCTACAAAGACCACGCGAGAAATTCCGAAATGCCGAAAAATGTGAACTGCCGAGAAATATTTCGGCGCTATCGCCATTTCGGAAGTGATTCATTTCCGATTTATGCAGCGACCGCTTAAAAAACGTACCTGCGGGCAAAGTAGTTCCAGAGGTTTAGGTAACCGGATGAGTAAGCTGGCAATTAACATTGGTCAAACAACCGACAGAGAAAAGATGTCTGTGCTACATTAAATCGTCTGGAATAAAGCAAACATATAACGCATATGACGATACTATATACTCTCGCGAATCAAATATCGATTTCGAATGTAAACTGCAATTAGTTATTATTCGCGATACTTTTGGTTATTATGTGTGTGTGTGTATATGTTTGTGCGCGTATATGTGAGTAATAATTATATACTCTTTTCATTTACTACGGCAAATCGTCGCGATTCGCGTTTGATATTTGCGTTTAGATATAAATCATTATTAATTGGCAGTCTGGAGTGAGTACATCACGCGTACGAATAGTCTCGTTAAAAAAGACCAGTAAAAAGGAGTCCCGAACAGGACCGCAGAAAGAGCGGAACCGAATAATGTACCGAATAATGTACCGAATAATTCATTCCGGGTTATTACGAGTAATTGTCGGATCTTATTTGGGTCTTATTCGGATAGAAAAAGAGTTATACGCCGCTATACGTCGTAGTTGAGTGTTTTGTTGTAGCGCGTGAGATAAATTTAGAGGATCACGAGAGAAGGACTTAACGACGGTTTCGTGGAAGAACAACGACAAGCTGTTCTGCCCGCGAGGCGATATTATTATCGCGACCCTTCGACCATCGTTTATCGCCGATACGCACGTAAGGACGTGGATTGCGTACCGTTAAGCATGGCGAGGTCATCTCTCTCTCTCTCTCTCGTTCTCTTATACTTTAGTATAAGATGCTGTTTTTCCAGATTTTCACACATCAATAACTTTCCATTTGCTGGGAGAGGAAAGAGAGCATATATTAATATGTGTTCATATAAATGGCAAAATGATTTTTCGAGACACACTGAAGTTCTTCAGCTAATAAGGTTGTTACTAGTAAGTTTAGAGTTGAGCATAGAGAGGAAGAAAGAGAGAGAGAGAGAGAGAGAGAGAGAGAGAGAGAGAGAAAGAAAGAGGAGGAAATGGGAGAAGAGAAATATTTTAGAAATACAATAAGTCGATCTGAATAGATTTTGTCCGCCTTTCGTCTCGAAGGCAGAGTATTCTCGTAGTCGAAACTAACTAACTAACGGTTCCGCGACTTCCACCCTGCTCGCCGAGGTAACATCGCCATCGCGAATAATGCCCCGTTCTAATTAATCCAAGCGCTCGACGAACTTGGTGAGCATCTCCTGGGAAACGCGAGCAAAACACGAATCTATCTGTCTGTCAGTTCTCAAGGAATGACCGGATCTTCGCTTCGAAACGAACGATCAAATGCCTTTCTTTGTTCGTCGCGAAAGCTGAGGTCATATTTAATTATAATATTCGAAGCGCGACGTGTACGAATTGCATCGCTGCCAGATTTTACGCAGGATAGAGGACCTCCAGTCCTACCAGTTTCCTTTTTACTTTGTGTGTATCTCGAAATACATTTTGAAAAAGATATTTCAAGAAACTTTTGAGAGAGCCGACTTCGTCCGAATGATTCGATCATTACGCATTGTGAAATCCTCGTTTTTCTCTCTCGACAACGATCGATGACACGCGACAAACGGCACGAGACCGTATGTTCTCGTTTCTACTAATGCCAGCACGTGCAGGATTTAGCCCGCGAATCGTACAATCGCGAAACGCGCTCGAGGATCTATTTCTGCGGTCATTCACATCGAAAACATTGACTCACTCTCGACCTGCGGATGTCTTTGAACTCGTTTGCTAAATAAAGAAAAGAAGAGGGCTAGAGAGAGAGAGAGAGAGAAAGAGAGATAGAGATAAGAACGTTGGCAAATCGAACCGAATTCGAAGAGAAAAAATTGAACTAATGCCAGATAAACTGCGAATCATTCCAAAGTAAAGTTAATTATGATTTTTAGTGTACGAATTCGAGATAAAGTATCGAATAGATCGATCGTCGAATTTATGGAGATCTTGGGAAATGCTACTTGTACACGGCTATTCGCTGAGTCGTGTCTAAATTTTATGCATATGGCATTTCACTGGTAGACCGGTCCACCCACAAAAGGGGACAACTAATAATTTTTCACGGTATTTCTAAAAACAGAAAAAAATAATGCGTTTCCCAACGAGTTAGGTGATTATTGGACGACTTCATTCTTCGAGAGAAGTTTAGTTTTTTCGCCAATTCATCGCGGACACATTGGTCGAAGACGATGATGTCCGGAAAAAAAAAAACGTTGGAGAGAATGGTCCCTCTCGTTGCGCCGGAGAATGGATTTTTTAAGCTGCTTTAATTAAAAGATCCTATCATCTCTGGCACAAAGCGCTATGAAATTTTGTGTTCTCCCTTTGTAGTACCAGCGCGCGAACTATCGTCGATTATTCGCCGCGAGAAAAATCGCATTCAAGCGACTACCGAATCTTTTTCTTTGTTATTGGCTTTAAGACGTGGATGAAACTTTTGTCGTTTATTTTTCTATTTTTATTTGAAGTGCGCAGAAACTATACCATGAGAACGCGATCGCGTCATGATCCTTATTGTTCCAAACGACCGTTGATCATGCGGTTACTCTAGAGAGCGTAATTATACAACGAGAAACGCTAGAAAGAGAGAAGGAGGGGGTAGAAAGAGAGAGCGAGGGAGGGAGGGGGAGAGAGAGAGAGAGAGAGAAAGAAGAGCGGCATGAGTCGGCCGGTCGCCGATCTATATCAAGAACGGAAAAATGCAAAACCAGATCCGCCCGGTTGGTCGCGCAGGCCGATCGCCACAGGAGCTCGGGGACCGGTTGAAACATGGATCTCGCTTCGCAGGTCGCGAGTCTCCTCGACACCTACGGGGCCGATTCGACCCGCCGGTTGGTTAACGGCGTGTACGAGTCGTGACCGAATGATGTTTAGCTAGTCGCTTAGTGCAATTTCTGATTTCCAAATGAAATGGTTGGGAGACGTGTTTGGCAAATTCGTAGTTTACATAATAAGTTTGAAATTCTGAATTAGGTTTACGCTACTCAGCCATTCGTGCTTCTTGAGATTCGTGTCGATAAAATGCATCTTTGTGGGAGACGCGACTTTGCAAACGGCGCCTAATTTAAGGAGATTCGAAATACGAGAAAAAAGAGAGAGAGGTAAGAGGACCTTAACGTCCATCTTTTCTCGAAGGATTCACTTGTGTTGCGACAAGCGAGCATAAGTGCGATTCAGGAAATCCTAAATATATACCGAATAACCGGTTTCTCTCTCTCTCTCTCTCTCTCTTAGTCTCCCCCTCCCCCTTCTCTCTTTTTCTCTCTCATTGTTCGTCGAAATGTAGCACGCGAAAGAATAAAAATCGCGATGGAATAAAATATAAGAATAAGGATACATCGGAAGCGAGGGATATGAGAGTTCCACCCACGAAATGATATGTATCGACCAACGATACGAGCGTTAGAAACTGCATTGATAGGATATTATAATTATTCTCAAACTTAGGCATCAAACATACTCTTTTTTTATTTTAACTACAAAAATAGTCAGAACTATTTTTCTAGTAAGTGTCAGTGATAATAACTTTACAAGATAATAATCTTATCTGCATGTTGCTACTACTATTTTTATGGTTAAAATAAAAAAAGGATATGTTTGACACCGAAAATAACTATAATTTCCTATCAATGCAATTTATTTTCCTTTTTCTTTTTATAAATTTACGTGGAAAATCATCTTACTTTAATAAAATATTCGAACTCGT